CTTGTACGCATGCGGTGTGAGTGGCCTAATAGTAGCACGCCGAGTAGAAAAATGTACAGAAAAAAAGCCTCCGCGATAATGATACGGAATAACCTATCAATTACACGAGAGCCCCCGCGCAGCAATGGGTATAATACACGACCGCCACCGTTTCGTTACGCTAGCCGGTAGGCCTACTTATGCAATTATCTCGCAAACAACGAAAAAAACGCACACCTAATAAAGCACCATGAAATTCCACCAATACGAAAATCAATCAGACATTCCAATTAACTGCGATTCTATTTTTAAATTTTTTACATCTCCACGCGAAACAACCAACAAAAAACAAAGAAATACGCGCAAAAAATGTTCAACTCGTAGATATTCGCAAAGTTCAATTTAAGTTGAGAGTTTTAATTAAATTAAACCATTACCTGCGACTTAATCAAATTCCTCAAACCTATACAATCCGCAAACGCTCGGCTAATCAATAAATTACACTAGTTTCCTGACTGTTTTCTGTCTTGTTGTTGTTTTTCTTTTTTGTATTTAGTTGGAATTCTTTGGATTCATGCAACAATTTGTGAAAAATGCGTTCATTTAGATTCTTCCGCTTCATTTCCACGTTTTTTTTTTTTTCTCTTCACGTTTTGGATACAAAGAAACAGGACAACAAAGAAACAAAGTTTTGCCAAAGCGATGAAAAATCGTCAACGGCGTAAAATCGTTTCGCTTTACGATACGACTAGCAGCGTGACAGGACAGGTTGGTGCAAGTGGTAAATTCGCCCGGCGCTAATGAGGGAATATCGTTCTTTAATGTCTGTTTGAACGCGGCTTATTAACGTCTCCGGCGAGCTGCGTGCCTTAATAATGCGCATCCATCATTTCCACCAAGAACCAGAACCAGAATAGGTACAACATCAGCATCCTCGTGAAGAATTCGTAACATAGACACGTGTAAAATGTAAAATCACTTTTTTTTAAATTTTTTGCTTTTTTCTGTTTTTATTTTATTTTAATGTAATTTAAATTTGAGGTAAAATTCTAAATTCGGTTTCAATAGTTTTGCTAACCAGGCACACGCCGCTGGAAATGAAACTGGCTGACGTTGCGAATTCGTAACGCAGAGCGCCACCGCAAGCTCGTCAACCTCAGACCAGAACATAGCAGACCAACGAAGTGCGAGTGAGCGAGAGAGAGATAGCGTGTGGTCGTGCCACGCTTTGCGGTGGCGGTGTGCGGCTTGAAACCGCCGTCGAAACACATTTGCATGGGGACAACCTTCACACAGAGACTTTACAATAAAAAACTATAAATATTCGCATCCACAATGCGTAAAATCAACTTTTTTCAACCTACAGCCGCCATTTTAATAGCTATGAAAGAAATTTTGCAATATACGAATGTCTAATATTGAATAAACAGTTTGTATGATGTTTGGCGTGTTTGTATTTGATTATTTTAAGTTGGCAAGCGTAAAAATCAAAGTTGGAAAACTTGCGATGGAAGAGTCGTAGGGGCGGCAAGTCGAGTTTGTTTTACGCCCGATTCACACGGAAACAATTCGATGGCAACGCAAATACGGTTTCACAATTTCCATCCCGCGTAGCATTGTGCGTTGCTGCGCACGGCGTTCGTTAGGTTTGCTTTTCATCGCACCCCGCGTCCTAGGGTTTGCATATACCCCATACCCGCCCTTCATTGTCGCGCGGTTCCACCTTTTGCTTGCTTCCAATTTGTGAACTTCGTTTCCTTGCGCCAGATTCTCAACATCAACAGAAATCAACTTTTTTTTCTTCTCTCTGCGTTTGAAATAATTTCACTTTCCCGAAAATTTCTTCAACATAGGCGGGTCTATGAAGGATGATGTGCTCAGTTCGTAATTCACACGATAAATTATGCATTTTACGCCGGCATACGATATTCATATCGGTCGGTGGTTGTGCGCGCCGTGGCGTCAGACTCCCCCACAACGCTGTCACGCGTGACAGTTACATGGGTTCGGTTTATGTCTTCGAAGGCTTTCCACCAGCCTTCGCGGTGCAATCTTGGCAGGTCCGACGCTTGGATATTGTTCCACGCCACCCAGTGCGAGGGGTAGTGTGTTGGCACGCCGGCGGGGAGGTTGGAGGAGTCGAGGGTGAAGCCGAGGGATGCGTGTGCACGTCGACTTCCAAGTTAGACTTTGACGCGACGTGGATTTCTTGCCTGCAAAGCGAGGACCACCTCGTGCAACCCCACTAGGCCTTCCTTGTCTTGACTTGCTGGAGTCAGACATGCACTGACAATTTCTTCACTAAACACAGGGTTTAACTTAGACTCATAGAGGAAGAACCTCAGGTGGTTTAGTTGGTTTGTTTCTACAAAGGGAACAGAATTCAAAATTCAACATATCACAACACACACACGGAATTCTCTGAGATTACTAATGAAAATTTAATTTTTAATTATACTCTTTGTGTATGTGTATGTGTAGTACTTCAAAAAGTTGCATTCCGAAACTAAAACTTGAGCGTAGAAACAAAAAAGTCAACTCGAGTTGGAATTCTTGGAATTGTGCATCGAAGGAAAAAAAGTTACCGCATCTCGAGCGCTGCGTTGCGGTGTGTTCCAAGAAGCTCCTTGTGTCTTCTCGGTCGAGAATCAAGACCAAGTCCAACATTTTCAGTGGCTTCACGTTTTCGGTGTGTTTTTTTTTTCTTCTTCTTCACAGTGTGTGTGTTTGACGTTGTGAAGTTCGGATCTTTGGCATTCGTATTTTTTCCGTGCCTTCATTCTTTTCTGTTGCATCAGGTACTTAAACTCAGAGCATCGCTTTTTTCTCTTGTGGAGCCAAGACGATGATCAAATAAGACGACCGATGGAGGAGGGCGGATGGAGGAATCTACCTGCCGAAACATTCCCAAAGACGACAAAGAGAATTCGATAACCACCACGTGGTTTTCAGCCGAGAAAACCATTGATATACGCATGAAAAACGCACACAAAGAAAGTGACCGAGTCATAATCACCAGGAAAGGACCTTCGTGATCTCATATTGTTATTGTTATTATCACGCACGTGAGAAAAGAAAAAGGTGACTCACGATGCACTTGTTCTTCGAATATTTCCAATACATCAATACAAACACACACAAACTCATTAATTTAAAAATTTTAAGCTATAGTATTGCTTAATTTGAATTTTTTTGATTATATTGCTGACGCACGTAAAAAATCAACAAAAAAAAACGTAAACAAAGAACATGATGAAGTCATCGATGCGTGGAACTCGCGCGCGCACACACAGCTTGGGAAATCTCACTAGTAAATTTGAAACTTTTGCGCGGGGCAAAAAAAGCGAAAACATTTTGCAACTTTAGCGGTGTGAAAACAACGTAGCCACGTTGGCAATTATTGCCCAAACATAGGCATTGCAAACTATCCAGAATAATAAATCAAGCAAACAATAAACACGGAATTTCCGCCAATGCAAAAATCAACGATTTTTGAAGTTGCATTTCATTTCATTTCATTTTAGCAAACTTCAAAATTGTGTTGCATCGCGTGCAACAAGAGTTCTCGCTGCACGTTGTGTTGCACGTGCATTTGTGCATTCGCAAGGGTATAACATCCACCAACATCCGATGGGCGACGTGCGATGCGTGTTCGGTTCTGTTCCTCTGTTCTTCATTTCGAATTCTTTTCCACCAGTCGCGGTTGTACCTGACTGCATAGTGTATACACACAAACACAGACACAACCATCGCATGCATTTCAGTCTCGGGACAGAAGTTTAGGTGGATGTAGAAGAGGTAGACATGCATCGCCTGACGTGCATCGTGAATGTATACAGTCACCAGTCTCTACCTCTACCTATGTTGAAGCAGTTTTTCAGTTCGGCTCGGCGTTTTTGTTGTGTGTGTTTTTTTTTTCAGCGTATGAGTGTGCGTGCGAAGGTATTGTACGAAGGAGTAGTACACGTCTGACTTGATAGCCAGCATGCGATCGTGGCTACGTGCACGCTATCCAAAGAAAAAAATGCTATTCAAGTGAATAGAAATATTTTTTGGTAAAAAATCACTTAGATTCTTCAGAAAAAAATTAATTTTTAATTTCTCTAGATTATGTAGATCTGCAGGTTATGTATTTATGTATGACATGTGTCAGAATAGTCATATCTGTCATGTTGGAACATGTATATCAGAAGGGTAATGCGCGTCCACATAAATTAGCAATTTCGCATCCTCGGGGCGATTGTGAGGTATCAGCGGCATCCGCGTCCAAATTAGACAGCATAATGGACTATGCCGTCCAGCAAAGCGATAAAATTAACTTTGCATAAACAATCGAAAATTGCCATAAACTATGGATGCATAGCTGCGCATTCTACGTCGGCGTTCATCATGACTAATTACAAACTAGATTATACAAATATTACTAATACAACGAATACCTGATGGTGAATTGGAACATTTCATCTATGTGTGGTCAAAGGCGCGCGCATTTTGTGCAATTGACAAAATTGGAAAATACACTTGTAGCACGCAGAGATTAAGCAGGTTGTAGATTAATCTTTCCGATTGAAAGTGGTAAAAGTTGTTTGGGAAGACTGCGCGCCGAACGTTAAACAAACAGCCGCTCGATAAATCACGCGACTAGTGGGCAATAAAAGCATGCTGCGACGGGCAAACGCCGATGATAAATAAAAACAAACGTTTGTGATTTATTCGTAAATACGTAAAGCATTCGTATGCTTGTGAACGGCGTACAGAAGCGAGGAGATTCAGTGTGTGAATGGAGCAAACTCAAATACAACCGACAACCGGCAACGTCGCATTTTAAATTCATTCGTAAACATAAATTAATCTTAAAATTTTAGTGTTATTCATATAATAATTAGTTTGTATGTTAATATATGTTATATTTTAAATGTTTTTGATGTTTTTTGTTAATTTTAACGTGTATTTCTATTATTTTTTAAATAAAATATATTTGGTGATACGCTTGGCAACGTTGCGACTGGGAGTATTCGTATAGAGGGGGTTTGGCGCTTGACGCGGCGCGCACACAAGCCGAAAAATGGCCGCTCGCTCGCGACACGATCAACATCGCCGCGCCGCAAAATGACCGCCGCGTTCAGCAAGCGTTATCACCGCCGCGTTGCCGTCCTCTGATGCCCGGCCGCCGCCGCGGTGCCGGTGTCCTCGCAGCAGTGCCAGTGCCAACCCAGCCGCCGCCGCCTCCATGGACCACAAGAAGTCGTCGCCGATGCGCCGCACCAAGCGGCAGGCGAAGGCCGCCCTCGAGGACAACTTCTGGGACTGCAGCGTGTGCACGTACCGCAACAACGCCGAGGCGTTCAAGTGCCTCATGTGCGACGTGCGAAAGGGCACGTCGACGCGAAAACCGCGCATTAATCCGCAGCTGGTGGCCCAGCAGGTCGCCAGCCAATTCCTGCCGGCGGCGACGAGCACCCACCCCGCGCCGCCGGTCGGTAGACACCACCATCATCATCCACGCGGGCTAGGCAAAGATAAACGCGCGCTGAAGAAGCGTCGCCATCCAGCGCGGCTCAAGAATGTCGATAGAAGCACGGCGCAGACGAGGGAGGTGACCGTCAACAGCGTCACCGTCGTCATCACCGAGTACAAGCCCAAAGCAGCGAAGTCACAGGATGCGGCCGCCAACACCAGCAGTTCTTCCTCGGAATCGCATAGTGAGTCTAGCATGGACGCGCGGTGAGGCCCATAACCTCAAAACGATGACAACGCAACAAATACGACTTCAACCGTTGCAACGGCAGAAAAACCAATCGAGAACTCACCACGACTTTGTTTAACAACACAGCGTTGTTATAGTTTGTTAGTTAGTGGTGTTTTTAGTTAGTTAAAGTGAAAATTATGTTGCGTTAACTGCGCATGCGCCGCAGAGAAACAGAAGCAGTGATAAATTGAACTTGAAGGACTTGCTTTGCCAAAAAGAACTTATTTATTTGGTGTTGTGCACGAACAGTGACAGAAAACATGGTTACCTATAATTTTGTACATAGCGAACACAATTCGACAATGAAGAAACTGCATGAGATGATGGATTCAGGAATATTACTATCCAAGGACTTTGTTTATATCAGCCGCCATAACTGCCATACTTTTAAACACATAGGGTGTTTCCATATTTAAAAAAAAAAATTAATTTTATTGATTTTGTTTTGCAATTTTGTTTACTTCATGAAACATCCTATGTGTTTCTGTCATATTGGCGCTATTTACACTACAAATGTACACTGCCCATAATATTTCACTTGTTAAATTAATTTTCGACTTATACTTGGCAAAATTATATACATAATTATTTGTTTTCGAGGACTTGCATTTGATTTTGTTTTACTTGTACTTGAATTCTTCAAAACAAGACTGATAAGATTACAATGACGCACGTAAACACAAAACAAAACAATACACAAATTGATAATAGAGAGAGGGGGTGCAAAAAACGCGACACACGACCAGAGCAGCCGAATTAATTGCCAGTGCACACCGCGCGTAATTGTCGCATTATTTTTTCGAGCGTTTTTAATTAATGGAATCGACCGGCGAAATTGGTTATAATTGAACGTCGCGAGTGGCGCGCCGTAATTAACACGCTCGCGCACCGGGCGCGCAGCGTTTTTCCGATTCGTGTTACACATGCATCTCTCCACATGCGTGGAAATTGTGAAAAGGGGATGCATTTGTGCACGCGCGCGGCAATTTTCAGCTTTATTTACTAACCTCATCGAACGCGTGTTTGGGATTGTTGTTCGGCTCGAAATTGCCGTTTTTTGCGCGGCGCGCGCGCGTTTTTTTTTTTATAAATGTTTTGTTTGGTCTCTAATTCGTTTACGAACGCCACACGCAGTGTGTCAGTGTGTGTATGTGTGTTTGCTTATCAATTAACGAAGCGATAAAATTATCTACATCACGCATTTCACACCGAATCGGAATGAGAATGACGATAATGTATTTCGAACAACAAATGAATCGTAAACTAAAGAAATCTTAATTTTTTTTCCTGCAGGGGGGAAAAAGTACAAAAACGAGGCCTACATATGTTAATTAATTCATAACACACATGCACACACAGTAATTTCCCACATCCTTAAATGCGCATTTTACGAGTGCACCTCGAAAACGATAAACACATCACATGAAATCAGTTTGTTTACAGCTTCGCATTGAAAATGCATTTATTGTATGTAAAATACTGTATAATTGTAAATTACGTTGAGATGAGAAACGAAAAAAGAAACTATACTACGTAAAAAAAAAACACGATAGAAGCTGTTCTATTATCGCTTACAAAAGTGTACGATTAACACATTGTATTTAAATCAATGCGCTGCACGCAAATTGAAATCGAAATGGAAATGGAAATTGAAATTACCTAATTGCTCATTGTTGATATTGTATATTGATATGAATGAATATTATGACTATTTATGATGATGTGTCGACGGCGACGAGACGTGTAAAACTATTAAATGAATTATAATATACGGCGATTTATTTTATTACATTGTTATTGTCATCAGCGATTTATTTATTTACACATTATTTGATGGCTGTATTATTTACACGCGTGTGTGTAATGTGTTGATCAAGTTTTCACCTGGAATTGTACTCCTGTATATAGTTGGTACATAGATTCCTGGTGTTTGTGCGCGGTTTGTGAATGTTGTTTACTCCTTTGAAACCGCGTACGACGCGCGCACCTATTTATTTCAGTTGCGCGCCGCAGTTAGCTGTAATTTACAATGCGCACTCGTCGCGTTGTCGATAACTCACGTGTAGTTACAGCTGTTCGGACGGTTCGCACGAGTTGGAAAATGTGTGGCTTATTCTTAATTCGGATTTTGGGTGTTAGCCACTGCTGCCAACCAACCAACGTGGAGCAGTGACCAAAAAAGACGCAAATCTTCAATATTTCATATTAATCTATATTTATTATACAGGGTGTTTCTATGTATTATCTGGAGTTAATTTAAAATAGTCGTAAATCATATTTTTGGTAAGTATTTATTTGAAAAGTTTTTGTTTTATTTTATTTTTTCTGTTTCAAGGAAATAATGTGTTTATCTCACATGTGCCCTGATTTTAAGTCGGAGAAAAAAACTTTCTAGGAAAATAGAAAATTTGAGAGCGTCAGTAGCGGTGCGATATGTTTGGCATCGCGCGTCACGTGGAAAATGGAAAATAGTTTTCACACGTTCTATTTCAAACTTAAACCGGGCTTCAACCGTTCAATGTAAACCGATTTAAAGCAAAATTACGCAAATATTTTCTTATTCTACGGCACAATTAATTATATAATCATACATACCCCTTTTTACTAAATTTTCAGGTTTATAATTAAGATAAGATTCATGTTTCTGATATATTAGCATTACACAACTTTTGTCTTTAGTTTTTTGATGTTTTAATAGTTATTTTGCTCATTTGAGCGAAAATTAATTCAAATATAGCTATAAATAGCACAATATCAGTAAGTTTGTTTCATATATATATAGATGTGTACTACAACTAGCGACCTCTGTGACTTAGTAGTTTTGAAATATCATCCACAAAACTAATATCACCGTGAGTTTAAAGTGTAAACTTTTACTATTAGTATTTTAGTTAACTTATACACTACTTTTGTTAGTTAAGCGTTAACAAAGTTCGCCCAAGTTCATTTCGTGACGTGCGAAGGCTCTGCAGCTAGGCAACCAGGGATGGTGCGCCCCACAAAAGCGTAATTTTGTTATATTGATGAGCAAACGTGGCGCGATCAATATTAATGGTTGCCGAAATGAAATTCCAACAGCGCCATTATGTTTTAGGGTTAGCGTCAGACTTTAGAGTCCAGAACCGGGACCCGCCATACTCATTTCGGCAATAGTTCTGCAATAGTATTTTCCATTGCCTACAGAAGCAGATTTATTACAAAACTCACCACTGTGCGCTGCGCACATTTAATTTAAATTCTATTTTGAAATGTGAAAATTGTCGACAGCAACATAAACAACAAAACGAAACACAAAATGGCGACACATATTTGACAAGTTCGATTCAATTTTTAACCGCAAACAATATGTATTTAGAGTTTAATTATAATTCGTTTGTTCTAATCAACGCTCGAAAATGTTAAATTCGCTGTTTGCGCCGAGGCGCGCAACGTGCGCGCACACACTGGGAAATTCTATTAATTAGAAATCGACTTCAAATTTGGCAAATGGCAATATACACACATTCGAATCAAAGCGTGTATGGTATGGCCTAAAAGTTGATTATCCGATTTCCGGGACGCCACGATTACGACCGACAACAAATTTAGTTATCATGGATCGGCAGCAACTTGCCACTGAGCATCTAATTAACGTTATGTAAACAAATGATTAATCAGCAACAAACTGCATTGTAATTACATTTTTTTTTAATTTCAAATATAGGATAAGTATTTAGTTATTAACGCGTAAAAAATCACATCTAGGTTAGGGTTAAGTATTGCCAGTTACTAAAGATGTTCAAAAAACATTTATTTTGGTTGGTTTTCCCAAATTATTCAATTTTTAAAATGATTTTTTAATAGTTTTCAATGAAATACGATAAACTATTTTCAAAACTAATATTTATGAAAATATTAAATGTACAGCGTGTTCAAAGAATATTCAATCAAAGAAAACTTAAATTAATATTTCTAGAAATAATTTGTGAACAAATTCCCATTTTTTCGCAATTATAACACAAAAAAACAATTTTTTGACTGTTGCTAGTAATATTATGAAATTTCATAGACACTGACGCCATCTATCGTCACAAAAAAGTAAGAAAGTTCCAATACCGAGTTTCTTGAAATAATCTTGGTCGGCATTTATGTTCTAGACACTCCAGCGCGTTTTTTTCTGTTGTTGTTATTCTTCGCCGTGAATCCGTGATGCTCGCGACTCCTCGCGACCGTCGCGAACTAACGGTGAATCGGGCGCGCACGAATTCAAAGACGCGAAGGTCGACACTTTTATTCGTGCCGCTCTGAAGCCGTTGCTGTTTATGACATGTGATGTAATGGCCCCGACGAAACAAAACAAAACACCAACTTTCATTAAAACACTAAATTTTATACCAATTCCATTATACAAAAAAACGCATGCGAAAAAAAACCTTGACAATATTTATAAATATTCCATATTTATATATATATATTCCAAGTTTTCGCAATTCTATTTAAATTTATTTAGCCGCAAGGTGTAAAAACCGACACATGCACACACACACAATCAACGCAATGTAATAATAACGATGGTAATCATTGAAATCCTTGAAAACTGCAGCCGCGCAACCGGCGCACAACATTTACACGACTTTGCGCCTCCGTGGGTGCAACAATGACATCAAAGAAAGAACGCACACCGAGCGAACCGATAAATCTTGGCGAAAAAATACCGAAAGCAACCAACAGCCAGAGTCTTGCAATGATTTGCAACATTTGCCACTTCCAACTTCCACAACACATAAAAACATTTATAATCATAATCAACACATAAACATGTCAAAAGTGAAGTTATTTAGAAGTTTTAAATAATAAACCTTTTTTCAGCTGGTATAAAACAAAAGGAATTATGTTTGTTGCATTCGGTGACCTTGAGTAAGCACAAACAAAAAAGAAAACGTTATTTTACTCTAGTAAATGCGCGAATAAATTAAAATTGTTATTGCATCGACGAGGATGCAAAAGGTTCGGCGAGGTTTCGCCTTGATGTCGTGATCGAACAATTGGCATGAGTCAGAACCGGCAGGAATTGCAGGAACAATCAGGAATTCACTTCGCGTTGTAAAAAATCACCTCAATGCCATCACAAACAATTATTATCTATTTAAAGTTATTTTGGGCGCGTGCAATACTTTTTCTTCAAATTTTATTTTTTCCGCACCTTTTTTTCTCTCTGGTGTAAAATGTTAATTTTAATTTAATTAATTAAAGTTTCACGCCATCGCGTGGAATTAAATTCGGCATCAGTTTTTGTGCGAGTGCCGTGTGTGCCGCTTTTTATTGTATTAATTAACGAAATTTAGCATATAAATTTAATACGAAAGCGAGTGTGCGTTCCCTGGGCCTGAAACGCAACCGCAAAAAAAAAGAAACATGAAACGTGTGAGACGCACACGAAACAAAAGTGTAGCAAGTGTAACAAACAAAAACGTTTCTTTATAGTGTATATTATTCATTATTTTTTAATCTGGATAATTAATTATTAATTACTGCAGTTGGTCGGTGAGTGCGTGATCTACTTTCCACAAAAAATATTTTCATTTTTTATTCAGTTCCTTCGAAAAAATACCGCGAATGTTTGTGTTATTTTAATTTGTTATTTTTTCCTCGTGCATTGTTTTCCTTATTAAATTTGCTATTTATTTTTTCGAGGTTGTCGAATGTTTTCCAGCATTGTGCATTCCTGGAGCGCTTGTAAGTTTTCCTTCGCATCGTCTTTTTCACATTTCACATTTTCTCTCAGAGGGCAGCGAGTTTTTGTATGTATGTTTGCCGCTGTCGGTCGCGTTCCGTTTTTTTTTTCTGTTTTCTCGTGCTGCTCGGCGTTGTACATGTTCGTTTTGTTGCTTTTGTACCTTCATGTTTTGTTGTATAACTTCTCGTTTTACTTTTCACTTGTTTTCCATTTTTTTGTGTTTGCTGCAGCCTTATTTCTTTGCTGTTTTTGTTTGTCTGGTTGTGTGCTGTGTTTTTCCTGCCAACACTCGTTATTATTTTTTGTTTTGGCAAACAATAAACACAATTTATTTAAATAAATATTATCGCGCTAGTTTTATTTCCGCCACACACACCCACACACACAAATAAAAAATACAAGTTTGTTGTTAGCGCATGTTTTGTCGAATCGTTGGATAGTTTCAAGTGGCTTGCGAGTCCGACGACGTTTTCTTATCACACACAACGCCGTGCCAGGGCCCGCCGACCGGATTCCTCTCTGCGTTGCCATGACAACCAAACTAACACACAGCATACTATACTACACCCAACACACACACATACAAATTGATATAAACCAAACGCATCTGCATACTATCCAGCACACATTTATGATTACATTAGTATGTGTGCATGTATGTATGTAGAGAGTGTAACGCAAACATACTCAGAAATTCATGCAAACAAAACTCGACAGACGCAATGCATGCATACACACATGCGGACATTGTGCTTGTATGAGAGTCGGGCAAACAGCGCTCGCAGAGTTCACATTCGCAGTCTAGTGTGTAACTCGAGAGATGCGAAGAGAGAAATTCGAGATACCAGCGTTCAGACGTCGGAAAGGAGCCTGCGACGCCCGAGCCTCGCAGGACGCGGAATTAATTCTCAAGTTACAAACATTCCTAGCCTCCAACAAAAACAAGAACACGAAAAAAATACGCACAACTTTTTTTTTTTTCAACAAAAAGAAATTTCGAAAATTATAAATTATTTAGCGTCTATTATAACGGAGTCGGACGAAAGTTTGAACCGTTTAGTTAAAATTAAAAA